AAAGTACTAGTACTTCTTCAAGATAACTATTTGAATATAGAATTCTTTCAGGAAGAAATTGCATCCCTTCTTATAGAAGGACTGAAAGAACACGAAAGAGGGAAAAATGACCCATACAGAGGAAAGGCAAAGCAGCCTTCGGTGTCCATGTGAAAAAATGCCTGTGTTAAATTGGGGCTAATTTGCAGCAGTTCCCTGGGAAGAACTTAAGAAGGAAGAGAAAGCATCAGGGATTCAGGCAGTTCATCTGGCAGTAGCTTTTATGACCCTAAAGCTTGCTGAGGTGACGAACAAAGCAAACTAAAGTCCATTTTCTTACAAGGAGTAGATTCCCAATTAACGCAAGGTCTCAAAAAGCAAAGAACCAACTGTTTCTGAGCAAAACCTTCCTGGCAGGAAGAAGCTTATGAAGGCCTCATGCTGTGACATTTCCCTCACAAGCAATTAGCAGGAGATTGGACAGAAAAGAACAAGAGACTGCTGAATCGATGTACATTTCACCTATCTGGGTCCTTTTTTATTTCTAATTCCAGGAAACTGTCAAGCACATTTAGGAACTGTAACAAATTTGACAAATGAAGGGCTGAAGGAACTGTTATTGCACAAGCTCTGGCTAGCCGTGAGAACAATCTCAGTGGGGTCAGTTAAGGGGTCCATGCCACTGGACATCTTCATCGACACCCTAAATGATGATCCTAAAAGAGAGAGCATGCTAAGCAAACTTGTAGATGACACTAAATTTGGGTCAGTGACAGACAATGAACAGCAGAGTTTCAAACCAGGTGGTCTCTGAGAAACTTGAGAACTGGGCAACCAGAAACCTCATGAAGTTCAGCAAGGAGAATTGTTCCAAGCTCTCCTTGTTGAAGCTCAACAAGGAGAGGTTCTGCATGTGAGGTGGAACCTCTGTACCTGGGTAGGATACAGAAGTTACTGCAGTAACATTCACATTTAGGTTGAATCTGAGTTAGTGCAGACCATGAACTGGGCAGTGCTCCTCCTAATGGAGCCCCAATTGCATCTGGCGAGGTTCAGGTTGGGTACTAGGAGAAAGATATAAGATCTCTTCTAGGAAAATGGTGCAGCCATGGAACAGGCACCCAAGGAAGAGGTGGCACCATCGTCCCTAAAGGTGTCCAAGGCTTGGCTGGGCAAAACCATGCCTGACCTGACCTAGTGCTAGCAATTGCCCTTTGAGCAGCAAGTTGGATGAAATAACCTCCAGAGGCCCCTTCCAAACAAAGTGTCTAAGATTTTATAATTCTTCCTGAGCAGCTGCATCGTTTTTTGCCTAACTGCGGGTTTGAATCATAGTCCTCTGAAGCCAAAGAATGTCCTTCTTTTGACTTAATGGAGACTTGGATAGACCACTAGGCACTGACATCGGCTGTCTTAAATTATGTAATTTGTAGGCCGTAGCTGAGCTGACAACATAATAATTAATCTTATAACCAGACAGATAAAAACCTCCTGCTTTGTTAATGCTTGCAAAATGAGAAAGCAGTATTTATTCTTCCTCAGTCTTTATTGAATTGTCATGTATATGATGCCTGCATGTAGAATACAAAGCGGCTGTGGGAATCAAAATTGAAAGACGGGGCCGTTTTTGTGCCACAGAAAGAGCCATCATATACTCTGGTTCTACTGTAGACCTACCTGTGAGTTATTCTTTGAAGAAAGCAAGTTTGTGCTTTATTTGTATTTTAAGGGCTAAAATAAATCAATACCTTGGTTTTAACCAAAGACTCCACCATCTGCCTTGTGACACTCCCTTTTCTCTAACTTCGAGAGCTGACATCTGAGGTACTGCTGGTGGCCTGCAGATTTGATCTTTGAAAGACTGGAATCAGTCTTTTGCAGGAGAATATACTTTGATACGACCTCTGTGTGTTATGTGATCCTCTAGGTTGGATGACTTCTGGAAAGCCAAACTGTAACAAAGCTTTTTTGAGGAAAAGTAAAACTAAACTATTCTTAGCTGTGTGAGGAGGAAGGGCTTCTTTCTTATTTCCTAGTAAACAGTTTTGTTTGGATTCATTTTCCCTAGTTTAAATTAATTGTCTTGCCCCTGCATGACTTGGATGGAAGGAGAAGCAGTGGGAGACCTTTCAGAAGATGATCCAGCCAAGATTAAGACTCCCTTCTTGGGCGAGTTGGTTAGAGAGAGCCTAAACTAGAAAGAGTTTAGACCAGAAATACATTTTTTGGGGAGAGTGACAAACAGGTGAGATGATACTAATCTATGTTTTCTTCTTCTTCTTTTTTTTTTTCTTGAACGTCTCTGATGCACTGGGAAGTTCAAAGCTATTGCAGAGAAAAGCTTTATGCATAGAAATATACACATCTGACTCTAACCACAGTGGCATATTACTGTCCCTAGACAATATCAGTGTGCTGGGAGTTTATATAACATGTTTAAAATATCTATGAGGGATAAAAGGTCTTTTTTTCCTGCAGCGGCCCAACAAGTAGTAATCATGGAATATGTAGTGATCAAAGAGGGGAAATGGTTCATGACTTTTACCATCTTTTAGACAAACTAGATGAAGTTCAGCATTATGTCAGGATGCTGTATGACCTAATCATAACCAGGCTCTCTGAAGCCTCTCTGAAATCTGTTCTTTCCTACTGGTTGCATGGCAGGAAATAAAATGCTTCATCATTAATATCTGTCATCCTTCATTCAATGGGAAGGGCATATCTGTCTGCTGTTGCTGTCACTTTCTATTGTCCTCTTGTGCCTATTTCTATCACTTTTGAGTTAAGGCTGAATTTCACAAAAAGGTCACTGAAAGATCTACCATTATGCTGGATGGATTGCCAGATATATAAACAAATCATCCTTTCTCTTTTTGTTTGTAGTATTTCACAACATGCTTTCTTTCAGACAAGCAGCAGGCAGAAGAGATAGAAATAAGTGAGGTGGCCTTAAGATACTTTGATCAAAGCTCAACAAGCTGCAAAAATTGCCATTGATAAATTAAGAGAGGTAAAGATCAGAAGGTGATAAGTGCCCTGGTGTGGCAGGGCTCCTTCTGAGGGTCAACCTTTCAAAAAAGGTATCTTCATCATAATATGCAGCTTGCACTGATTTGGCATGTGGCAGTTGTGCATAGTGATCCAGCAGGCTGACAGAAGTTCTTATGCAAAGTGATCCCAGGAGACGACACAGAAATTCCATTTCTTGGTTCCTGAAGCTCTGTAGCTTTCTTTTTACTCCTCTATCTGGTGTGTAACTATGAGATGCTTTTTCATGAGATAAATGATCTCAAAACACTTTAAAAAGGAGGGCAAAAAACTGTTCTGCTCTTCAGTCAAGGCAGACAGTGCTGACTGAACACCTAGAACCCACCAGGTCATGATCAAGTCTCCCACCCTATGTGGACACAGTCTTGACTAGAAAATAAACAGGGGGCTTTTGACAGTAGCAACATGTTCTAGCAAAAGGTTCTGATTGGGGTTTCTCCAAGGAAGCAGTTAGCAGTCATATAAAGGCCAGGTGTCTAAATATTTCATATCCACTGATCAGAAGAAGATGGATCCCACAGTGTAATGCTCTCAAGATGAACAGCCAAAATGGCAGTGTTCCAACACAGTAGGTCTAAATTACACTTTTTTGCATAATTTCAAATTACGCATGAGATGTTTTTCACTGCTAAAAAGGTGAACTTCATGCTAGAAAAGATTTTAAATATCCACCATACACCTACCTCCAACATCACTGGTTTTAACCTGAATAGTGTATGTTGTGTCCTCCATCATCTGCTCGTCATTTATCATGGCTGGCATTTCACACACAAGACTTCCCGTTGCATTTTTCAGCTTTGACAGCCACTCACCATATGTAAATGTAGCCACTTCTTGATTAGTCAGGTTTTTCAAGACAATCTGTGGACAGTCAAAACAAGGGGAAAAAAAATCAGCTACCATTTGAATGAGGGCACGTATGAAGCGTTGGACATGGGCAATGTGTCATTCTCTGCAAAGCCTTGGGATAGTCTGAAAAACTGTACTGAGCTTTTTTGGGATAAGCTGTGCACTTCTGAATGGACAATGCTTTGCTTGTCTACAGAAATGATCTTCATAATATTGCACCTTTTCCTGCATAGGGCAAAGCACAGGAAGAACTTCTCTGACATATGGTATGGATAAAGATCAGCTCTATTAGGGTTACATCTTTCCTGGAAACTGGTCTGGAATTAACTTTAAATAAGGAACAGAGAGCTACTAAGAGCCTCTTTGCCTCTCCTTGAAGTACACAGTACCTTTCTTTCAATCTTTTCTGTGCAAACACACAACAATCATTATGTAGATATGCTAAACAACCCCCAACAAGTTCTTTTAAAAAATGCACAGGCAAAAATTAGGCCAGCAAAACTTCACACACTTTTCCCTCTGGGAAAGGGTGATAGAACAAACAACATGCAACAGATATTAGTCACACTGCCTAATGTGTTACTGGAAAGAGCCCAGATGCTGTGGCGATAGGTGGTAAGAACAGAATAGAAACCTATCAAGAAGAAGCCAGAGAGCTACTCCAGTGAGCATCTGATAACACATCCTCCTTTTTGTGTCCTGATCGACGTGGCCTTGATGGAACCTGAATCTGTCGGAGGAAAACGTTCCACCAGCCTGCAGAAAAAATCTGGTGGTAAATTGTCATTGAACTGGGAGAAATGGGGAGAAAGAAGGAGACAGGGCTGCAAATTACCATTTCTGTCACCATATAACAGAATCAGAGACCATATCTGAGTAAAGCAGTGTACCCAGAAACTATGACTTACTATACATATTTCTGCAAAGGTCATGTGGACCTGAGAAGTGTCAGAGAAGTGCACATGATATTGGGAAAAAAAGAATTATGGAATCGTGGAAAACGTTAGGCTGAAAGGAACTTTAGTCCAACTGTCCTCTCCAAGTGGAATTGATTGCAGGGTCTTGCACATCTGAGTCCTGTAAAGCTTCAAGGACAGATATCTCCCCAGCACTCTGCACCTCCAGCCACTCTCAACCGTGAAAGTTTTCCTTATGTTCCACCAAGATTTTCATTGCAGCAACTTTTGTCTATTGCCCTTGACCTTTCCCCATTCACCTCCGAGAAGAGGTTTGCCCAATCTTCTCTGTAGCCTCCCTTCAAGTAAAAGACAACATTTGGTTTCCCCCTTCCCCTTCTCTTCTCAGGGTTTAAACCTCTGATTATCTTAGTCTTTCCTAGCATCTCATATGCTCCACCACTTGGCTGTCTTAGTGACCTTCAACTGCGCTACCATCTGTCGGCCTAGGAAATTTATCTTGAGAAAAAATAAACTCAAATTCTGTCCTCAAACAGTATGTGTCCCAGTCTATGGCTTTCTATTGACCTCACTCAAACGACACTGAAACCTCTAGCAGTTCAAAAGAACATTGCTCAAGGTTACAAAAGTGACTTAAAAAGAGGGCAACAGCTAAACCACCACTGAAGCAGTGGCAGTGCTATTTGTGCATTGTACATTTTTTTGTGAGTAGGACACTCATCTGAGATTTTTCTCTCCGACTGATGCTAAGCAGAGATCTATAACATAGCATCTTCATCCCAGAGGTACAGAACACTGTGGATTGTTAAAGCTGTCCTATTTTTCCATAAAACTGCCTATTCTCAGCCAGAGACACTATTTTGTGCTTAGGGAACAGCTCTGTGATTCAAGAAAAATTTTTTTTTTTAGATAAAATTTGCAAATCATCAATAATCTCAGTTTAACATAAAATTCCTTTTTTTTTTTTTTCTCTTGGTACATAAACTCTTTGCTGGAGAAGATTCAACCAGCTCTACCTTTCTTTCCTGCTCGGGCACAACAGTGACATTGTTAGTAGTAAAATGTCCTGAGAAAAGCTTACAGGGAAATGACAGGAAAACAGCAGGGGATAGAAGCAGATTAGAGCTGCCAGCTGGAGTGCACTCACAGTCAGCGAGATCAGACCTCGCACAAATAATCAGCCCATGTCCGATGCTCCAGATGCTGTCTGGGAAAAACTGTCAGGCTACTAAAACCATAAATGTAAAACACCCTCTGTTTCCATCTTTCTCCCTCACCGAGAATGAGTGTTTTCATCCATATGTAGCTTCATGTAAGCAGTTAGCATGGTTAGTAACAACCTCTGCTATCTCACTCTTGGACACTGCTCCACAGAGGAGTAGAAGAGAGATGAGGTAACAGGAGACCTTCAGCAATCTGGTTGCTAAATCAGACCATGGCTTCAAGGAATGAGATTTATGTGACCCACCTTGAGCCACCCAAACATTGGGCTTCCAGTCCAAGGGTGTCGCTGTGGCTGTCCCTATGGTTGATGTACAGGGAAAAGGAATTGACCCCATCTTGGTGCTGTTGCCTAAGTTATGGATAGGCACACGGTCACTGAAGGCATCTGATAGGTGGTCCATCTCTACTGACTACAGAAGAGGCCTAATAATTTGATAAAAGAGGTAAAAACTGAATGCAGCTTTTCAGTGACTAAAACTGCATGAAATGAATCCCATCCTCAAAGCAGAAATACCTGGGTGCTGCCCACACATAGGATTGTGCAGGATTTTGATTTGGACCAGGAGAATGAAAAAAAAAAAAAAAATTTGAGGACCTGGGCTTGGATTATGTTTATTTTCTGTCTGCTTTTACTCTGGAGAGATTTAGCTATTGCTCAGCAATAAGGACACTGTTTTACATTGCATCTAAACTATTATTTAGGACACCTAAAACTTGCTGTGGACATCCTGAATACTTTTAAGTCTAAACATTATCACTAATTATGAATGGGTTTTAATTGGACTGTAGAATGCACTTTAAAAACAAAAAGAAAGTTGAATCAGTGCATATGAATAAAATGTTGATAACTTGCTTTGCAACTGAGCAAAAATGGTAGCTGACAGGAACCTTCAACCAGCAACTTGCAATCAGTTGTGCACCGTGTGCTGTAACAGAAAGGTTTGACATGACAGTTCATTTTGGTTTAGGTCTGCCCATCTTTCTCTGAGCCACAGTGTAATATACCCTCCCCATGGGCATGCACATCCCACCAGCACTGGAATAAAATGGGTCCTGGATTTCACCTTTAAAAGCTTCAGCGTACTTTTCTATGGCTCTGTTGCATGTCATTAGTCTTCACTTTAAAACAGAGGTCCCTGCCTGTGAAACAAAAAGACTGCTGCAAAGAACAATCAGCTCCTGCTATAATGATTTGTCTCAAACTCTCTTAATCTCCTTTATATAAAGGAAGAAGAACTGAATAAACACAAACTCCTGTATTCAGGATTATTTGTAATGTCTGAATGCAATGCAATTAGTGCTTCATTACGACAGCTTCTTATCTGTCTGGCCTTGACAGCACAAAGTAATATTAAAATTCTGAGAATCACCTTACACAATTCCCTGTTTTCTTCATTCTGTGAGCTCTCATTCCTTCTTACTCTGAGGTTTTCTACCTCGTATTAAGGCACTGGACAGCAGGCAAAACCATCATGTGATCTGAGGAGTGGGCTATCCCAAGAGGAGGTTTCTAAAGCATGCATTTTAACAAGTCTCCTAATTAGAAGTCACCTAGTCTGTTCTTTCAAGCACTGAGCATCCACAGCCTGATGGTAGCTTGACATGGTGGAAAAGGAGATTTAGTATTATGTCAGAAGAGAAAAAACAAAGTCCATATCTCTCTCAACAATGCTGATACCAGAAAGTGCTCCTGTGCTTTTCAAACCTTTTTAATGTGTCTTTTCGTGCATGCATTGTGTGGGCAAAGGGATATTCTGCTCACAGAACTGGGCACCGTGTCTATAGAACGACACACATGGGCACACAAATAAATAGTAGAGTAGTAAAAATAAGAATAATCGTCCATATTCATTCTGGCCTGATCAAAAGTCAAATTTTGTTCCCTCCAGTAGATTAAGCATCAGCATTTAAAGCTTATGCCCCTTGTTGATGCAGCTTGAATCTTTAGTGCCAAGTCATTACTTCACTGAGATTCTGAATGAAATTTCAACATATTTTATCTAAACAGAGAAAAAATATGACTACTTCCGTGCCTGTAAATTGAATCTTTCGTCTGTGTACAACATCATTGATAATTCGTGCATTTTAATCGGTATTTATGCACTTGTATTTCTGCTGAACTAAAACCAGTATGAATTATGGCCAGCAAACTGTTTACAAAAAGACCAAAGAGAATTAAGAAAGATCATTTATTGTTATTTTAACAGAACATGAAAACTGAGAATATCCTGTAGATAAATGGAGCAACAAATGGTTAATTATGGGGTTGATGGCTTAATCTAGCTTCTCATTTCACTGTGCTAGTTAGCACTAACTGTGAACCATCTGTCTGAGAGTTTAGCACTACCCCCACAAGTATTTCATTATGCAGTTTTAATATGCACTTTTGACAGAAATGGAAATGGGCTCAGATCAGTTTTCATGTCACACCAAGCTACACAAGTTTTCCAGGCTGGAATACAAATCAGAGAACACAGTGGCTCCTTCCTCCCCTTTTCCTCAGAGTTCCTGTCTTGACTTGCTGCCTGTCCATGTTATTTTTACCTTCTCGGGGAAGGTGAGAAAGAAAGCTAATAAATAAAGTTGTGTAGGTATCACTGGAGTTAGCTCAACCTCTGACCTGGAAGCTACACGTACAGTTTTCAAAAGCAGCTAAAATCCCATTTTCAATGAGTTGTGTGCATGCTCTGTTGCTCCTGACCATCTAGGGCAGTGCTTTAAGCCCATCAGCCGTCTAGACAGGAATCCTCCTTGCCCGAATCTCTGTGAAGGGCTTCCTGGAAATATCAGAGAACACAGTGGCTCCTTCCTCCCCTTTTCCTCAGAGTTCCTGTCTTGACTTGCTGCCTGTCCATGTTATTTTTACCTTCTCGGGGAAGGTGAGAAAGAAAGCTAATAAATAAAGTTGTGTAGGTATCACTGGAGTTAGCTCAACCTCTGACCTGGAAGCTACACGTACAGTTTTCAAAAGCAGCTAAAATCCCATTTTCAATGAGTTGTGTGCATGCTCTGTTGCTCCTGACCATCTAGGGCAGTGCTTTAAGCCCATCAGCCGTCTAGACAGGAATCCTCCTTGCCCGAATCTCTGTGAAGGGCTTCCTGGAAATGGAAAACCCACTGGACTCAGGGGCTACAACAGCCTGGCAGGGTGGGCAACAGGACCACGGGGAAGTGGCACCCACCCTTGCCTTTGGGCTATTGCTATCTTATGACCACAAGATCTGGTATGTCTCTGGGTGAATAAGCTCCACATGATTTCATATTGTATGAATATGATTTATAAAACTCAGGGGGAAGGTATCAGGGACCTGACAAAGGGAATTTGACCACGATGACTGAACTGAAGCAGAACACAGGCTGAGTTATTCCTTAGTCACAAAGAGAAAAACTGCGTGTCTGTGGCATCTATTTGGCAGATGGAGGCTGGAGGTTTACAGGCTGGAGGTTTAGTGCTTTATAAAGCCACACAGGGGCTTATTTTCAAAGCACTAATGTTGAAGTACAAAAACAAACTGCAGCTAACTGGCTGTGACCTTATGGCAGGTTGGTACACGAAGGGCCAGTGTTTAGAAGCACATTACTTAGAGATAAAGGAAGGACAACATCAGACTAGTAAAAAATGAGAGAGGGCCGAAGAAAAACTGTGCACTGTTCCTTCTGACCATGGGTTAAGCCACTGGATCTTCACCTATTTTTATCTAAAAGTTAAGCTAAAAAAATCCAACAATACATCTGCTCCTGAAACAGCATGCTAAATAAACATGGCAGAGATGTGTTCCTCCTCTAATGACATCTGGCAGCGTGGAAACAGCATGTCACTCCACCTCTATCTTAGAAACATAATTATAGGACTCATAACAAGGAAACTACATCTTAGTGCCCAAACATAAGTGCAGTTTACATGGATCTGATGGTTGTATAGAGAAGATAAAGGCACATGAAGGGTTTTTTTTTTTTTTTTTTTTTTTTTTTGCAAGATAGGACACTAGGGGAAAATGCAATTGACAGAAATAGTCAGAGCCATTTTGCATGCTGTATTGAAAACACAAGAAGAGAAGGGGAAGAGAAAAGCACCCCCAAAGGGATCCATTCTCTCATGGAGTCAGAACAGGGCAGGGAATTGCAGGGTCTGAAGGGACATCCTGGGGATAGAAGACAAGACAGTGCAGGTGGCCTGGTGGCACACCAAGGCCCTTTCGCAGGGAAGGAGCGTGGGGTCTAAAAGCAGGGACTGCAGTAAAGTTACAAAGCTTGGCTTCTGCCCTTGCTCCTTTCTTAATGGACTCAGGTCCCACAGGAAAAAAGCATGAGACACCAAGAGGAAAGAAGCAGGAAAGGATTGAGAGAGGCACTTGCATTTCTCCTCTTTCCCAAGTGCTGGGAGGCTTCCCCGGGTTACAGTGAGACACATGGTGTGAAGCACATTACCCTTTCCAGGAACCAGTGAGGGCGAGTGCCCTTTCCATCCGTCCGGATCCTCATCTTCATCAGGGGCGCAATGTCTGCAATCTCCATGATGAAACTGTCCTCTTGGCCTCGCTCAAATCTGGAGGGATTGAAAGACCAGGGAGGTTTCCCACTGCTTCACAAAGCCCTTCGTGGGTCCATTCCACAACTCAGACCCTGCCAGCTGCCTCATTTAAAGTTTATGAGTGCATTTTATTGGACTTGAGCTTTTCTCTCCTGTAATCAACAGCTACTGTGTTTTTGGCAAGACACCTCTGTCCAGATTTGACAGGAATTCCTCCTCCCCTGGAAAATCAAGCCCATACGAAATTTCTGGAGTCATTCCAGGCAGTCTGTAGTATGTATTATCATTCTGATTGAAACCAGAACAATAGACAAAACTCACAGTCAGGTTACTGCACGTTCCCTTCCTCTTGGCATCTAGCCATGTGCTTCTCTGTAGCTAGAAGGCAAAGCAATTCTGCTTAATCTTCCTTCACTATGATGCATCACGTAACTTTGCGTTTGCTGTGGTGACAGACAGTTCCTGCAGCTCAGCTAAATATGGCAACCTGATCGTGAGTCGGAGCCCAAAGCCTAAGTTTAGCAGGCACAGGTAAACTATGCTAGAAAAGGGTCAAAACCAATGATTCGTCATTCCCCTCACAAATCTGGGGACTTTGGATTTTCAGATTAACTCTGTCTTTGGTAAGAACCAGGACAGATTTGTGTTGCATTGCTTGAAGCATCCTGCCCTACATCCTGTCCCACATCTTGCTCCTACAAATGCATCTTCTGGTACAGAAGCATTGGAGCTTTCCCCAAAATACCCTGGCTCACAGACGAGCTCCAGGCTTGGAAGATGGAAATGCAACATTTGCTGGGTAGAAGGGCACCCAAATACAGTGCATGTACCATTCTGCACCCTGATCACTCTGCTGTTGATATTTGTCCTTCACGCAAACATCTCTCTGGGGGTGAGCTACAAAGCAGGACCAGCGTCCTCGAGAACTTTAGAAGGAGCCCTACAAACTGTGGGCACCGTCATGCTCATTTATTGTGTATATATATATATAAAATACTGTCAGATAACACATAATGATGATATCTTGTTCCTGGGAAAGTTCTCGGCCTCCTACCAGCTGTGCAGTGCCAGGGTAGGAAGAAAAAAAACATTTCTTTATCAACCTCTGCTCAGATTACAGCCTGTAGCCTGAATGTGATTATCCTCACACCATTATCTGGACCTGCATAGCTGCAGATGTTAGCAAAAGGGATTGGCACAAGGCTCTGAGTTTTCATCCAGGCATTCGCTTCCCCACATTCCTGGAGGCATTTGCATAGGGCATTTTGGTCGAGGTCCATTTCCAGTTATTAATGGCTATGTTTGCTTTTCAGAGCAAAAAAAAACCCAAAAAAACCACTCCTCTCTGTTATTTCTCTTTGGTGGTACTCGATAGCAAGACAGCCTGTTTTATTGAGAGAGTGTGTGCTTTTGTGCCCTAAATGGATTGATTTTCATTTCTATTTAAGAAAAAGATGTGACCCTTCCAGCCTGAATTATCTTAGGATCCTCTGACCAGTTTTCATAACAACCACTATTACCTGCAAAGCTCCAGAGAAGTCTCTCCCTTGGTTCCTTTCCAGGCTGAGCAAGTCTAGCCTAAACAGCTTGTCAACCAAATAAACCATTATTTATCTTCAGCAAATATCCTGCTTATGAGCCGTAAGGCTCATGTTCACCTGTTACCTCCATGAAATCTTCATACGACAGGGAAATAACTGCTAACATGACAGGCTGGATGACCCAAGAGGTCTTTTCAATCCCTAACTTATACAAACAGCAACATAAAACCTGTAAGCCAGAAAAAAAGAAAAAAAAAAAATGGGAGGGGGGAAGCACTCTGAGGAGCTGCTGTCTGGCACTGTGCCATTTCCAGGACATTGAAGCATTTATCTGGGGGATTTCATTAAGCTTTCTTACCCATGCCTGCACTTATAAATATTTCTATTGCCCAGAGGTCCTGGCAATAACAGTAATGTAGCTAAAATTGCCTTAAATCTGTGGCAGGTTAGACAGCCAGTTCTCTGTAATGCACTAAGCTGCTGTGAGTGAATTGGCACAGGATGGCCCCAATAAAGATGAAGTGCCTGCTATCCATTCGGTTGTGGGGGTTCTCCCTGGTCGCTCGCTGCAGGCCTCAAGGCTGAAGAGATATCCATGCAAAGCAGGACTGAGGGAAGCTGTTAACAGCGGGATCAAGACAGGCAGCAGCAGTGTGCAAACAGGCAACACATATATTTAGGCAACACATATATTTTACCACGTCCTGCATGGGGGATAGCATCCTCCACGATACTGGAGGGCCTTGACGTGCACAAATGTCCTGAGCTCTGTGCTGCTGGTGGATGAGGTGGGATGCAGAGCTCCTCCAGCTAGTGGACATGTGCCAGGATGTTCCCAAAGAAAAGCACTGTAGCCTGGGGTTATTAACGTATTAATGGGTGGGTTTTGTAGGTCCTTCTTGATGCAACCCCAATGAATTTCTACCTTCTTTTGCAGGTCCCAGTGCTGACAGGAGATATCCCAGGCAACTAATACCATATGAATTATGCGGCCCCTTTGCCACATCTTGATACCATTATATTATAGATCATTCACCCCATCTGCAGAGACAAATCTGATCATTTTTTGTAAGCTACATAGTTTGGAGGTATCATTTATTCCGCTACATGGAGCAAAATTACAATCCCTCTCAAGAGCTTGGAGCTGTCCCAGTCCCCTTTAGATACTTTTGATTGCTTGACTCTGATGTGAATTCTGCTTTGCTTTTAAATGAGAGCAAGCAGCGCTCATGCTTGTTACGTAACTAAACACAGAAAGGCTCCAAGCCTCGCAGATCATGCTTGCCCCAACACCCAGTCTGCTATGATAGCTGCAAGTAAAACATCCCCTGAGCAAACACCTCTATGCCAAAAGCCTCATCCACAATTATCCAGCCCACACGCGATACCCAAAGCTGTGGTGGAAGAAGTGCATTGCTGGGAGGCCGGGGTGAAATTCCAGCCTCCTCTGCAAGCCAGGCTCTAATTGCACGGGCAGATGCTCCAGCCCTCCTGCCATGCCATGGATGCTTTCCTGGGAACATCACCATTGGAGACCATCAATTAATTGAATTCAAGCCTTCTGAAGCCAGTTTCTGTGTTCATTCTGTGTTGTGCTGTGTTCATTCTGGAGCATACCAAAGCTTACAGAGGGAGGTGTTAGGAGAAGGAAAGCTTTAGGAAATGGATAGGTGACATGTGGGCTTCTTTTGGCTTAGAGAAGTGCTGGTATCAGACTAGGGATATATTTGATGGTTGGTTCTCTTCAAGAAAATACAAAATTTCATCTTTTAGCATAATCTTCAGGTTCTGAAGCACACAGTATGGCACTCCACACTGTTCATTGACTGTTTGGGGCTTTCTGCAAGCTAAGGCCACATCTGCAAAGACAGATGTCATGGTGTGTCCTCTTTGTGCCAGCTGCATATAAGCCAGCCCTAGTTCCCAAACCACATGGTTACAATTAGCATGGCACAGAGCCCAAGCAGGGCTCACCATTTCTGGGAGCCCTCACGTGGCTTCTGGACCAAAGTTGGCACATTTCTGGCCAGCTGTGTGAATGGGGGGAGTCAAATCAGGACAGTCACCACCTCCCCATCGTGGGCACTTCTCGAGGTAGGAACCCGCATGCGGATTTGCATGCCATTTGCTGCACAGTTACTAATGTGTATATGCAAGTGTTCCCATCACAGCTGTCAAATAACATCTAAATTAAGTTGCTTATTTTCCACAAATGATGTATTCTGAAGAAATCCTGCACCTGTGGTTTCCACGCAGTGCCCAGGGTTCCTCATGCTGCTGACATGGAACTTCACGGTTCCTATTTTTATTCATAACACTCAGCTCCAAAATCATGGAGGAACAGGTTAAACAAAACTTGTATTAATGACACAGAATTATTTCACTAGCTACATAGCATACCCTTTGCAATTATACTTCCAGTGGTGACCAGTTCTGAATCTATAAAACCAGTGGGAGTTTATCCATTTATTTTAGTGAGAGCATAATCAAAGCCCTAAGTGCTTTCAGACTTGACACCAGAATCTGTTATGATTCTGCCTCCAAGCAATAAGTGACAAAGTTACTGTACCTGTCTCCATTTTTTTCCAGCTGCAACTCCTCAGTCTTCCCATTGGATCCAAAGACAGTCATGAAAATATTGGCATCAGTACCACCGCTTTCAATGTCTCCAGTCACAACTGTAACTTCGTACAGGATCTGCAAGAATTTGAAATGATCAGAATGTCTTATTTGAAACAACCATCCTTAATCTACGCAAAAGCCTTGGTGAAAGGCTGGATAAGCTCTGCAGAAGATAACCTTCTCATTACAGTCCACCGCAGTTTTATCAGGCAAATTTAGAGGATGAACCTTGCTGCAGGATTTTCCCCTTCACTTTCTCTAAGTTTCTTTTGGTAGGTATTCAGCCTATGCACACTCTGAGAGCAAGGGATATTCATTACGATGAATGCTTGAGGAGCAATGAACTGCTGGGCCACAGGAGTCAACCACCATGTAGTGTCAATGGTCAGACGTTTCCATCTCTCTAATACCAGCATCTGTCATCACAGTTACCTTCCAACACTGCAGACCTCTGACCAGCACCCAGCTCAGTTGTTTCTTTCCCTTGATTGCAAAATATTTCCCACAATGTGCAATGACCTTATGGCCAATATTTAATCCAATATCACCAACATTTTAAAGTCTATAAATCTAAATCATTGAATCATAGAATGCTTTATATGGTAGGAAAGTGCAAACATTCAGCTTCCCAGTGGGATGCGCAGTGCTGCAACCAGCCCAGAATGTCCCAAGACGTCATAGTTTAAAAGTGTGCCAAATTGGGTGGAACTATTTTGCAACACTTCCATCTTATCAGCCTAACTTTGTTCTTTTCTTCTGACATGTGAGTAATAAGATTCAGAAAAAAAATATTTCAAAAGCATGCAAGCCCCGGTGGCTGCCAGTGGCATTAAGACTTCTAGGCCACTTCGATGCTTTCAAAATTGTACCTATGGTAACAAGACCTTAGATTTAAGAAGTGGAAGAATATTAAAAACAGTCCCAACAAAACATATTTCACATAGTGAGCTGTTATGCAAGTTTTATTGGCCTGAATTGTAGATGTCACATAAATCAGCAGTACAGATGAATAATATCATGGAAAAGCATTTTTTCAGGTCTGGAAAAACATTTTTTCAGGTCTAGGAAAAACTACTTTACAAGTTCATTAAAGTTTTTAATTATTGTGGAACATATTAACTTTATCCTTTGTTTCTGGGAAATCAACTGCTCAATTTAAAGCGTAAGTATGACAAATCAAGCCAAGAAAA